AGGAGGCCATAAAGAGTGGGATGGGGACCTGTGGGACGAGGTGGGGGCCGAGGGCCCTGGACCCTGGAGAGGGTGTAACCCTGTCTCTGTCTGTCCCTATTTCTCTCTCTCTCTCTCTCTCTCTCTCTCTCTCTCTGACCCTGTCTCTTCCCATTCTTGTGACTCTCTGTCTGGGTCTCCCGGGCTGGGGACCTGCGGACCCAGAGCGCGAGGTGGTGGTGAACATGCTGAACTCGCTGTCACGGTACCAGACGCTGCCGCAGATCACGCCCCGATGCGGGTGCGTGGATCCGCTGCCGGGCCGCCTGCCCTTCCAGGGCTATGAAAGCCCTTGCTCGGGCCGCCACTACTGCCTGCGCGGGATCGACTACTGCGTCGCCGGGGCGCCCTGCACAGAACGCCGCCTGCAGCCTTTGTGCCCCTCGCAGCCCACAGTAAGGTTCGCAGGGCCCCGCCCAGTTCAGCCGGGCCCCGCCCCCAAACCCGCGGGTCCCGAGTCCAGCCCCCCCCTCCGGCGCCGGCGAGCGCTCCATCCCGAGCCGCTTCCAGCCTCTGCCTCTACGCCAGGCCCCACCCCCTCCAGCCCAGCTAGACCCCGCCCCGTCCCGCCCTCGGGCCCCTGGGCTTGAACAGACCGCTGAAACGGCAGAGCGTGCACAGAGATTCCCCCCAGTTTCCGATCCTGTCCCTCCGGAACTGTGACCAAGGTCAGCCTAGCTCCTGTATCTGTTCTGGAGGGCTCTGTGAACCACCCCCCGCACACCAGTCTCATCCCCTTCCCATGCGCGCCAGCCCCACTCCCTACCTGGACACCCGATCCTGGGGACGTGTTCTCGGAAGTGTCCTCTATTCCTGGGCCTCGGGCCATCGTCAGTAACGGGCAGGGTTATGGCTGAGTGCCAAATGAGCGAGGAAAATGGTGACCGGGCGACCAGCAGGGCCCTGGCCTCCTCGGAGCCCTGCACCGCCTCCGGAGGTAGACAACCTTGCATGTCACTGCAGAGTAAACTGAGGCCCAAGCGCTCAGCCGCAGGCCCGACTGTAGTGCGGTCCTCTCTCAGCACCAGGCGGCACATAGGGCGGGCTGGACCTGGGAAAACGCCAACGGCCCCATCCATCTAAAGCAGTGGTGGGCAAACTCATTAGTCAACAGAGCCAAATATCAACAGTACAACGATTGAAATTTCTTTTGAGAGCCAAATTTTTTAAACTTAAACTATATAGGTAGGTACATTGTTATTAACTTAATTAGGGTACTCCTAAGCTGGCCTTTGCTAAAAACATCCTCAACGTTCGCTGAGGTCGACCCCTTCCAACTCTCCCATCCACACTCGTCTATCTGAAACAAGTATACAAGACGAGTGTGGATGGGAGAGTTGGAAGGGGTCAACCTCAGCGAACGTACCTCAATCAGATTGAGGACGTTTTTAGCAAAGGCCAGCTTAGGAGTACCCTAATTAAGTTAATAACAATGTTTAAGTCAACTTCGCACTGTACGTGCGCGCCCGCACGTGGTATTTTGTGGAAGAGCCACTTAAGGGGCCAAAGAGCCGCATGTGGCTCGGGAGCCGCGGCTTGCCAACCACTGGGCTAAAGAGCTGTGCAGGGGGTGCTCTAAACCCTAACCCCCTGGTGATCTCCGCCGCCCCTCCCTTGACAGAGAGACTGAGTCCTTGAGTGAGAGTGGGTCCTATCCCTTACAAGGGAATCGGGGGGAGAGGAAGTTCCTGAGGCTCAGAGACACGGCTCCCTGGATGGATAGTGTGCAACAATTGCCGTCCCGGGGCGAGGATCCGGGGACTCCCAGGCCTGACCCTCGCTAGAGTCCGGGTGCTTCCCTCCACGGCGCAACCCAGGCTGCAGAAACGAGGCCTTACAGGGAGGGGACTTCCAGGTGTCTTCCCAGAGGCGATGCTCCGACGGTGTCTGGAAGGGCCGGGAGACCTGAGGAGAGGATCTCCGAGCCGTAGGACTGACACCTGAGGCGTGGACCAGAGTCCCGGTCTGGGCTTGGGGGTTAGGGGAAAATCAAAAGGCCCAACCTCTCCCGCCGCCGCTTCCTCCTCCAGGAGTGTATCGCCCAGCGAGCACCGGCCCGGGATGCACTGTGCTGTTATAACGCCCCTGCGGCCGTACTACCCTTATGCGAACCTTAGGTAAGTCTGGCGCGGTGGAGTACCTGGGGGCGGGGGGAATTGGGGGTGTATACTGTCCGCTGCGATGCACTAACTGAAAGATGCCACCAGGAGGCGCTAGTGCCACGGTGAAGTCAAAACTAACAAGGCGATGGAGAACTCCATGAAGGTGTGGAGGCCAGCATTGAGAGGTTACAGGTTGACAGTGGGGCATAGAGTCAAGATTTCAGTTAGGTTCAGGGATTGAAGTAGAGGGTAAAATGTCAATGTTAGGGACTGGGTATTGGAAATCAAAAATTTGGCCATAGAACCTTAAGTCAGTGTTGGAGCCTAAGGTCAAGATTAGGGGCAAAATGTTGGGATAAGGTTAGCATTGAGAATTGGAATCAAACAGATAAGGGTCCAAAAGGGCTGGCCCATCTCTTCCCACAGGTGGGACACAAGTCACTTTAAGAAGACCGGTGGCTCCCAGAGAAACAGCTATGTTGTCCACCCTGAGTTTTTGTCCGAGAATTACCCTGGCTACTCCTACTGATAGAGCGGGGACCAGGCCAAGGGGGCTGAGCAATAAATAAACTTTTTACCCCATAGGCTGCCTTTGACATTTCCACATATTCCCCTGCCTCCTGTGTCCTCATCCAGCAAGATCTGGCAATGAGGAACCAGTTACTCAGGCCTCTGCCAAGTCCCCTACACTAAGATGCAGTTTCTCAAAGTCAACCTGCCCTGAGCCCTCCCCACTCCCATCACCTCAGCACTTCCCTTAGGGTGGCCCTAAGTGCCCTCCTGACACATAAAAGTAGCCCTAGATCAGTGGTTCTCAACCTTCCTAATGCCGCGACCATTTAATACAGTTCCTCATGTTGTGGTGACCCCCAACCATAAAATTATTTTCATTGCTACTTCATAACTGTAATTTTGCTACTGTTATGAATCAATGTAAATATCTGATATGCAGGATGTATTTTCAGGGGTCGCGACCCACAGGTTGAGAACCACTGCCCTAGATACACCTGGTGTCCTCCTCCCCTCCACCCCAGAGCCCAAACAAATGGGTCCACCTAGTCATGCAGAAAGGGCCCTCCAGTTAACATTCCTCTAATATCTCCTAAACTTAGATGCTTCTCACCTCAGAATCCTCCCCATCACAACCCCCCAAAAGCCTATGTTCATATACCTTGCTGTCCTCCCCAACCCAAGAGAAGGGGTCCAAAACAACAAAACAATTTTGGCCGGTTTTATGACCAAGAAATTTCAAATTACAAAACAAAGCCCTGCTTCTATGTCCCTCGGGGAGCAAGGAGTGGGGTGTTCTGGAATCTCTGGGATCTTCAGTATTGTTGCACCCCATTCCTCCCTGGGGCAGGGGTATAGCGGGACACGCTCACTTCCTCGCGGTACAGTCATTTCCAACGCCCGTCACTGGGGAATGGGGGGTGCGGGGTCGCTGCAAAATACCCCGGGGGAAGCCAGTGTTCTAGGTCCCTGACCTCCATGCTGTTGGTCTGGACTGGTGAGAACCGACAGCTTGGGCCTCCCTGCTGGTGAAACCAAGGTCCCTCCGTGGAGTCCTTGATTGGATCCTCTTGGGCCGCTGAGATTCTCCAGGAATCCTGCTACCCTTTTCCCATATAAGAAACTTTTTTTTCCATATGGGAGAGCTAATAAGAGCGTTATACCGAGACGACCTCCACCTGCCCAAATCTGGAGGGTAAGGAATGCCAAGCGCTAGCCCTGTCCCTTTACCCTGCGGCTCGCTCCTTCTCATACACATCCCAAATTTAGCTTGGAGGTGCAAGAAACCTAACATTCTACAGCTGCTCCTTCCTCCAAACCTACATTTCCCTGAAGACCTGGAGCAGACCCCTCCCCCGCCCCCGCAGGGCTGGCTGCTGGCCTGAGATGCCGGGAGCTGAGCCCAGAGGAGTAGGAGGAAGGTAGGGGCTAAAGAGCCGGGCCTCAAGTCCGCGTGACAATGTGGGAGGAGGGGTCCGGCGTCTGGGGCGGGGCTGGACTCCAAGGCCCTGGGCGAGACCAAAAGACCTGGGCGTGGCCAGCCAGCCAGAGGGCGGGGCCTCAGCTGTCCCCTAAGTAGGCGGCGCTCTGCTTTGCGCGGTGGCAGCTCAACTCTGGCTAGCGTGGAGATCTGCAGGAGCCTACCTTCACCCCCACTTTTGGGGTCACTGCCGTGAGTGAGCCCAGGGGGAGGGCCTTGGGCGGGGCGGGTTCGGAAGGAGCACACTTAACTTTTGCTCCTATTGCTGAGTGCGTGAGGAGAGTCTGGACACCTGAGTCACCTTTGTTTCCAGTGGGAGACAGGCCCCTTGATCTCAGTCTGTCCCTTTGGACTTTGCAGCTGTTGGGCGGGTCACTGGGGGTGGGGGTGGAGCATTCCAGGCTGTAGGCCCAGTCACTCGATCTCCCGGATCCCGCCGCTGAGCAGGGAAATGGGCCGGATAGAGTTGCCTTTGACATTTCCACATATTCCCCTGGGAACAGTGTTCGAGAAACGAATCCGCTTGGAATGGCCTCCCCTCAATTGGGCCTGTCGGGTCCTCCTCCTCATACCCGACTAGGGGCTGGCAGCCAAGATTGAGGTTGACCTTAGCCAAGTGGGGAGAAGTCTTGGCTAGGGACAAACCCACCTGCCGACATTAGCCTGTGGTTGGTCTGATGGTGGAGGCAGCAGATTACAGGAGTCTGTAACGCCACCGTTAACACTGGAATCACTGTTCTTCCCCCATAGCCCCGGTACCAGATGCTATTAAAATTGCCCCTTCCCCACAAGAATCCTTCCTGGAGCAAGCAGCAGCAGCAGCAGCCCTTGGGAAAACAGGCCCCACCGTGCCCACACCCACTTGATAGAAGCCTGTCCCAGCCTCTTGACCACAAGGCTCCTTTCCTCTGCTGCATTCAGCCTGTCAGACCATTAAATCCTGTCTCCTAAAACTGGGGCTGTGGAGGATTAAGTTGACTTTTTGGACTGAGGCAACCTACTTGGGTGACTTCAAACAAGTTCCTTTTTTTCTGACTTGGCCACTGTTTCCTCATATGTACAATGGGCACTGTAGCTATGCCTCTTTTTTGGCATTACTGTTAGGGTGGGTGCTCTGCTGGCATTTGGGAGACCAGCACAGGGCCTGCGTGGAGTGGGTGCTCAGGCCTGTAGGCTCCTATCCTTCATCAAAGAACCTCCAAATCCTAGAAAGTTAAGCTTCTCAGAAATTAAGTGTTGGAAAAGGCTTCTAAGGTCACTTTGGTGGCCTCTCCATGCCTCCAGGGGTCATGAAATGGTCTGACTTAATATGAAAGTTTTGAGAATGAGGGGGCCCTATCCAGCTATGGACCTTTCCCATTTATTTCCATAGTGCCCAGAATGGGGCCTTGAATATAAATATATAGCAGCTCTGACCTGGGCCACCTAAGACCTCCTTTGGGTTTTGTTTAGCTTGAGGTCATCAGCAAAAGGTTACTGCCTGCATTTCTCAGGGAGAACTTTTCTAATTTGTACCTACAGGAAGGGGAATCCATACTGGGGAGGGGAGTTTGAAAGCTAAGTGTTATGTGGGCTGAGAGGAAGGGATTAAGAGGCTGTTCCAGACCAGCCAGAACCAACTAGCTTAGGGTATTGGGGGGGGGGGGGCAGAGAGCACAGAGAATGAGGCCCTGAGATAGCACATTGGGAGGGGCTATATATTGAAATCTGGGATCAAAGTTCTGATCTGCACCTGGCATTCTTGATAGTCTCTTCAGGGGAGTGGTTCGGGTGGTAAAGATCCTGACATCTCCTGGGGGACTTAGAAACAGACACTGGCATCTGGAAGGAGACTAATTACTGTTTGCCAGTCTCCCTCTCTCCTTTCCCCTAGCTGGTGCAGCGGGCTGGCTGGCAGTGTGTATGTCTGTGTATGTACCTGGCTAGGGCTATTTCTTTGTTGGACTCTGTCCTGAGGGCTAAATCAGGAAGAGTTAGTGGCCTTGAGCAGCAGGTTGCAAAACACCTCCCCCAAGTCTGTTTCCCAGTCATATCTGGGTGTTTAGCATGTGTGTAGTTGGGGGGGAGGTGCGCCTCTGATCCCTGGAGAGCTGGTAGGTTGGGGAGAAATGTTGGCCCAAGGTGGATCAGTGAAATCTAAAGCAGGTGGCCTGAAGGATTTAGGTTGGGGGAAAAATGAGCTTGGTAGTCCTAAGATAGGCCTGGCTGGACATAGAATCAAAAAGGCAGATGAGACCATATCATGTCTTGAACCTCAGTTGCAAAATGTATGCTTCTGAACTTCATCCCAGGGGTCATGAGAAGCTCTGTAAACTAGGAGGAGATGTGATCTGATAAGTTGGGTTGTTTTTTTTTTAATCCTCACCCAATGACATGCTTCTGTTGATTTGGGAGAAAGAGATGAGAGGAGAGGGGGAGAGAGAAAGAAAGAAACATCAATGTGAGAATGAAACATCAATCAGTTGCCTCCTGCATGCGCCCCAAATCCGCCCTGACTGGGAATCCAACCCATGACCTTCTCGTGCACTGGACGACACTCCAACCAACTGAACCACACCTTTGGAGGAATCGCTATGGTTGCTATAAGCAGAAGGCATTGGGGGAAAGAAATTAGGGAATGGAGGTCTATAGGGGAAGTATTGCAATAATACTGGGGAGAAGAGACAGTGTCCAAAACTAGGGCAGGGGCATCAGGATGGTGGGTGCGTGGCAGAGACAAAGCTAGGTGGCAGCTGGCCAAAGATGTGGTGCTGGGAGCAGAGCAGGAAGGTGGGCAGGGAAATGGGTTGGTGAACAATGGCTGAAAGCAGGGTAGAATTTGAGGACAAAGATGGGGAGGTCTGAGAAGCCAGCCACCATGGCTCTTGAGCCAGGCTCCTGACCCCAGCCCTAATGTCTGAACCCAACCCTGCCTCCCTCCAAACCAAGCCCTAGGACAGAACTAATCTCCAGATTCAATCTGGCTTCTGATTAAATTCCATACCCGAGCTGTTTGTTTCTTCTTGCTCTCTCCTCTCCCCTTTGGGGACAAGGAAACTCATCCTACTGCCCTATGATGCCTCCCCTCTCCCACCACGGCCACATCTCTGGGAAACCATGTCCTCTCCAGATCCCTCCCCTTATCTTCAGCTTGAACTGCTCCCATGTGTGATCCCATGAAGTCTGATATTCTGTGATCTGGACTTCTCCCTGACCCTGTCTGGGTTTGTTTCTTCCCCACAAAAATAGGATGCATGCCATCTGCCCCTGCCCATTCAGAGTCCTGACTAATGTCGACAAACATTAGGGCCCTTGAGAAAGGGTAAGATACAGATTGTCCTCCTAAGTCTCACCTTTGCCATTTCCTAAACCAGCCGTTCTCAACCTGTGGGTCGCGACCCCTTTGGGGGTCAAACGACCCTTTCACAGAGGTCGCCTAAGACCATCGGAAAACACATATATAATTACATATTGTTTTTGTGGTTAATCACTATGCTTTAATTATGTTCAATTTGTAACAATGAAAATACATCCTGCATATCAGATATTTACATTATGATTCATAACAGCAGCAAGATTACAGTTATGAAGTAGCAACGAAAATAATGTTATGGTTGGGGGTCACCACAACATGAGGAACTGTATTAAAGGGTCGCGGCATTAGGAAGGTTGAGAACCACTGTCTTAAACCCTTATGTCCCCGAATACACCTTTCCAAAGTATACACCTCTTCTTTCTTGCTGCAGCAGATGGAAATACTATGGAATGAGAAGGTCCGTTCCGCCTCTCTCTCCCCCTTCCAGACTCTGGCAGGCCAGGTTCAGATGGGCTTTGTCAGGTGCCCACTGCCCGCTCCTTCCTTAACTGAGGGCTGATGCCTCAAAATCTGGAGAAGAGCCAGGCCTACCCCCGCCGACGCCCTGGGCGCGACACAGGCCTGAAGAGTCCTGAGGCTGCCTCAGCCACAGCCATGTACACCTTCCTGCCTGACAACTTCTCGTCTGTAAAGCCCAAAGCGTCATCAAAAGAGGCGAAACCGCTGCTGGGCTCGGTAGTGGTGGGGCTGCTGCTGGTGTTGGCCGCGGTGGTAGCCTGGTGCTTCTACAGCGCCTCTCTGCGCAAGGCTGAGCGTCTGCGCGCGGAGCAGCTGGACCTTAACCGTGGAGGTTTCTCCATCCGCAACCAGAAGGGCGAGCAGGTCTTCCGCCTGGCCTTCCGCTCCGGTGCCCTGGACCTCGACTCCTGCAGCCGCGATGGCGCCCTGCTGGGCTGCTCCCGCACGGCGGATGGGCGCCCGCTACACTTCTTCATCCAGACCGTGCGGCCCAAGGACACCGTCATGTGCTACCGCGTGCGCTGGGAGGAGGCGGAGCCGGGGCTCGCCGTGGAGCACGCCATGTTCCTGG